ACTACAAAATGTCTGACAATAGTTATGTGATGACTATAGAAAGTATGCTTCTCAACTTTCAGAAAGCAATTCCTGAATGAAGACAACACTCATATGTAAGTTTCTCTGGTTTATCTTACTGGACTAAAAATTGTATTATGTTTGCTCAAAAATCTCTAATTTAACCAAGTACAAAATAGGGGTCCTATTCCTCTGTTGGGAACTGCCCTGACTGGTATCAGAAGCTGAAAACCCCCGCCTAGCTAAAGCTAAGGGAATGCCCTTGGAACTGTAAGCCAGCAAGGAGACAAAAGCTTATCTCCCTGGCAGGAATGCTGCTTCTGCTGCTGAACCCCAAAAAGCTTGGTCGGTTAGCCAAAGACGGGTAAGATTCCCCACGGGGGGAAGCGACCTAAGCCAGGCACGATCACTTTGGGAGGCCCCCCCAAAGAAGGACTTGGGGGGGCTGCAGCAAAAGGGGGGTGATGGACCCTCACTCCTCGGCTTTGACAAAGTCTGAGTTCTCAGCGTCTGGAAGAAAATCTTATCTCTCGGTGGCCTTAGTTCCCGCGCTCCACCTAAGCCTGAAACAATGACAGGGTAGTACAGCTCGGTACTGGGAAGTGCAGATTTCCCGGGGTGATCAGGCCTAAGAAAGAACATGTAAATTACTGTGAAACCTTCTTTGTTTAGAATGCTCTCAGTTGAATGAGAAGGGTCTTAGGAGGAAGTTAGTTTGTTCCTCAGTCTTACAGCTCTTTGACCCCCAACTCAATAGACGGGCAGAGTTCTTTGTTTTCTACAGTTCCTTACTTCCCCTAATGAGTATTGTACTTTACCTGAGTTATTATGTAGCATGAGCCCAATAAAAGCAGGTATGGACTGTAAATCGGCGCGCTCCCCACTAGGGGGGGTGGCCATTTCTGTCCCTACTTCCCCACAGAAACTAGTTTGTCTCTGTGCATGTGGTGTTTTTTCTCGCGTGTTTATCGTTGAGCCATCCACAGCGTTCCGTGGTCACTGCTGGCCGGTGACCCACGCGCAACATTCCTCAACATAGAACAGCTTTTCCAAGGCAAGAGAAAAAGATTAAACTTTTGTAGCAAAAACTGGCAATCTTGTTTCTTGCTGTTAAAAGTCTATGGTTAGTGATGGCTAAAGAAACGTGAAGACTAGAAAAAAGTGGGCACTATAATGTACAATTCTTTCCAAATGTGTAAATAGAACAAAAGGTGCAGTCGTTGTCATTTAAAAATGCCAGAAATAAGCAAACCAGTGGTGTGTTCTTTGTTGACACACATAAATCCTTCATATCATGTTAATAGTATTTTTTCAAGTGCATTGGGCTACACTGTAAGAAAGTTAATTGTTGGAGCCAGATATTAAACATATATGATTAAAAAGTTCCTCCAGCAAAAGCCATGTTTTCGAATGAGCTACCTCAAGCCTGATTACTCATCTGTTAAAATGTCACATTCATATCACAGCACTGAAGACATAAACTGAAATTAGGTGACTGATTTCTGGCTTCCTTTCTGACTAGCTATTCACAAGGCCAAGAGGGACCATAACACTAAGAGTTTGTATCCCCAGTTCTTTACCTGCAATGTTCTGTTCTGGGACTTGTCTTTAACAATGAAGGGATGTTGTGGTCCTATCCCATCAATCAGAGGAATTTAAACCTGATTTTCAGCTGGTACAAACAAAGGAGTAATGCTCATTAAATTAGGACCTTTTCTATAGTTACTTATATTGTGAAAAGTTATTCAAAGAACACTTAAATATAACCTTTTAAGAATCATACAACAGATCTTCATTCATGCAATCAGTCATCTGTGTCTGGATAGTGAAAATTTAGCATAACTCAAACCATACAAACTCTCCTTCTGGCTTTCTCCATTAGAATAATACACATGGGAAATCTACTTCCTCTACTGAACACTTCCAAGTACTCCAAACACTTGCTCTACTGAAGATCGTGAGATGTAGTGCAAGCCACCTACCGCCAACTTTTTCAGTGTTTACAGAATGATGACCCTTGATGATGCAAGACTTTCATTTAAAAGACATAATTATATTTCCAAAACCTAAATTGTCCCAATTTAATCTTCAAAATAAGAGCTGATTTTCAGTTTATTGCCATTCACAAAACATCTTATAAAACAATATGGTAGACTTCAACTTCAACGTCGTAACATAAAAAACTTCACAGTTCAAGAAAGTGATTGCTTCCTATTGAGTAGGAAGATCTCTAAAGCCAGACAGTATTGTAAGTGTGGCGCAGAATATTTTTGCGATTCTTCCTAAAAAATGTTGGCACACTCATTAAATGTCCAGGTTATAAAAATCATGTAGTATTAATTCTTATCCTTCAGTATATTTTTATATCTACATAGCATCACAGTAAATGTTGGTGGGCAAAAGAATGTAGAATCTAAAAATAATTTAGGTTTTAATGATTTAAAACCAACCAGCAAAACTCTTTCCCCCAAATGTTTTTGTATATAATTTCTTGTCCATTACAATAAGAAAGTAAAAGAGTCATTATACCTTAAAAAGAAGCTAATGTAAAATATTTCACTTTTCCTGTAAAACATAATTTCTTACCCCTTAAATAAAGAAGGAAAACTTTAAATTTGGGGGTCGGGGTAGTCTTTCGTAAGTAAAAACATCCATTATGTCAGTTGTACAAATGTTTCCTTTAGGAAAGTGGGTACTTTGATTTCGAACGACTCTAGAATATTTTATCATTACAAGAGCAGGAATTTTTTTCCTGAGGTGCTGGGAGCAACTGTACGGCAGTGAGCGAAGCTCCCAGGCGGAACAAGAACCACCTTCCTCCGCCCGTTTGAACTACTTTTTCGCTTCCCCTAACCAGACTCCAGCGGAGGCGCCCGCACAACTGCAGTGGATGCATGACCCAGAACAGTGGAGGGATCTCAGGTGAGGTGTATTCGGACAGGCTGAGGGTTAGAGGCCCAAAGTGTCAGTGGGGTGGGGTGGAGTGGGGTAGGGCAGGGAGCTGTCTGGCGCTGGACACTCGCTGTTAGAACCTGAGTCGGCACCATTCGTGCCGGCAATGATCGCCTCCTTCCCCAACCCCCACTGCCGCCAGCCACAGGCGCCATGAACCTGGTGAGCCTGTCTTGTCACAGCCACCGCTGACCTCCGGGACAGAAAATCGTACTTTAAATTAAAAAATTGGAATACATTGAATATAATAATCTATTAACATATCCTATTGTTTTCCACAAAATCCATAGTAAAGGAACAATAGGTTAGATAAAAGATCTGTTTCCAACATTTGGTTATTTTAGCTAAAAGCCCAGGGCAAACCATACCCCGAGTCTCCATTATCCTCTCTCAAATGAGGGTTAGTCTAATTGCCCTCCCAATTTACAAATGTATATATAATTATTAAATTTATGTAATCCTTTAGAGAATGAGGTGTTTCAACTCAACATATTTTTCAGATAGAGATCCCCCGTTTAAGTAGTAAACCTGTTCTTTAACATTTAAAACCTTACTAGTAAAATTTATTTTCAGTGCATTTCCCCGTCACCTTCAAAGATGAGGCATGACTACACTCCTGGCTTCCCGGTGTCCCAGAGTGGTGGCTGGCGGAGGGACCGTCAGAACAGCCTAGGTCACGGCTCCAACCTACACAGCTCTGGGCCACACTCTGGGTCTCCACCCAAGGGTGGTACCACCTGCACCACATCTCTTTGAAAGCCCAACAGAGATACTGAAATATGTTACACTGAAGTATCTGTAGATGCAAATGCAAAAGATTTCTGTGATAAGCCCAAATTGACTTTTTTTCTGATAACAAAGTCTAGATATTTCTTTTTAAACGTTCATCCTTTGTCAAGATGTGCATTTATGGTTCTGATCCTTCTGGTATGTACTATTCTCTAGTAGTTATTTTGTCTCCTGCTTCAAATTATGCTTTCAATGGCATCAGACTTGGGACTCAGAGGGTGTCTCCTAGAGTCTAGAAGACTGACCTTTGGATAGGTGAAAACCAAAACCTAAAGATTTGTTACTTGAGTAAATGTGGTATTATCATTACTCACTTTAAAAGAATGGCTCCTGCCCTGACTGGAGCTCAGCCCATACACCAAAAGGTTGTGGGTTCGATTCTCCATCAGAGCACACACCTAGGTTGCAGGTTAGATTCCCCAGTCAGAATGCATGCAGGAGGCAACTGATGACTGTTTCTCCCTCACATCAGGTTTTTTTTTTCCCTCTCTCCCTCTCTCTCTTAAAATCAATAAACACATCCTTGAGTGAGGATTAAAAAAAAAAAAAGAATGGTTCCCTAAGTAGGTAATGCATCATACTCACATAGGGAGCGTTTTAAGCAAGTCTAATTCAGCATGTCTGGAGTAGGGCCCAGAAAAGCTGTTTCTTAAAATCTCTCCCATGTAATCTCAATAATCGATAGTTCAGTTTTGGGGACTCACTGCTTTGCTCACAATTTCTTCTCTAGAATGTTGGTGGCTGCTAGTTCCTTTTAGCACAAAAACTTCTCCTTACATTAATTGCAAGCACAAAGTAGACTGCCCATGATCTAGGCTTAGATCCATAGGGAACTAGTCATTAAATCCTTTGCAATAAAATTTTAAAATGACAAGTTAACTTCAGAGCTAAGACAATGCATGTGTAGATGCTTTAAGGTGGCTGGTTCCATGCTCACAGGACAACTGTTTCTGCTTTACTTGTAGTTAGTCACTGGTAAAATTGAAGACTGTCTTACTATAGTTGCCACTACTAAGTAAAGGATGGCAGAACTCCACCGAATAACAGAAAACCCATTAACTACCTAATCGGTATTATTAAGAAAATGTTTCCAGCACACATAAATGAAAAGTATTTTACAAAACCACACAGCTTCCTGTAGAAACCCAAAGACTTACACTCTTCCAAAGTCTACCATAAAGGGGAAAGTTGACTAAAACTTCAGTTGTTTAAAAATATGTTCAATTAACTGTGAAAATATAAGTGTCCAATAGGTACAATTTCATTCTTTCGGAGGTTTAATTGGCATAAAATGGAATTCACTTTCCATTTGTTCTACCCAAATAGTTGGGAAAAGGGCATATGAAGTATTTGGTATAATGTAGTTCTCCACACCATCCCTTCCAAATTTAATACAAAAGCCGCATTCAGATTTCCTCGGGCTCCCAAGTGTGTCTAGGCACTTCGGAATGTTGTCATATCTTTTGGTTCTCTGCTGGGGACACACCAGTCATCAGCCTCATGGTTGGCGTTGTAATGCTTCCAGGCAGCTTTGTTATACACTGGGAGTCTTTCTACTGATTCCGTTGACAGAGCCTGAAAGAAAAGCAGGACCTAAGTTTGGCATGTTTTTAGAATCCATTATTTAAGAAAACATACAGTGGCAAAAGGTTACTACAAATTAAACAATATTTTACTGGCTTTGTATTTTATTAATCATAACACCATCTCCAAACATTTTTAAATAGTGTACACACTGGAAACGTATTGACTAAGCCTAGGGCACTGCCTGGTGTGCACTCTGACTGAACGTGCTGCCTGGAAGCCATGGGACTGAAATTTTACACAAGTGTAACACATGTTTCTTATAAAGCATGAGCCAGAACAAAAGCTGATTAATTTAAAAAGTCATGTAAGTATAAAAGCATAAAAAGTTGACATATGTACCTTAATATATGTAATAGTACAATCATTTAATGAACTCAATTTTAATTATTTATTAGAATGAATACTCTTTTTTCAGTCACTGTACTTTTAAAAATTCAATATAATATTACTATCAATATATATAAAACTATGTCTAAGGCGTCTTGGCTTTTGCATGAGCCATTTTTGGTCCTGGGTCTGATCCTGTGTCTTTTCCTACTGCCATCAAAGCCAATTTCAGTTGCAGCATATGTGTCTGTAGCATGCATAATTTCATGTTTCCAACACATTACTGTTAATTCACTCTTCTATTTTACCTCCAGTAAATCATTGGAACTTGAAATAAAGTCATTATCTTCTTTAAGTTGGGATATTTAAGTAGAATTTCAACTTTAAGTCATAGGCATTCCCCAAGATGGAGAAAATATTGAACTATAAATTTCATTTTGATAATGCTAAAGAAGGTATTTGATGTTGACGATTTTAATGATTCTATAAGACTTCCTGTCATCTATTTTTTCCAAAATGGAACTAAAAACCTTTCACCTATATATTCTCTTTAAATATGCCAGAACTGCCAGCACCGCTTGATCTATAGACTAGATCAAAGATACTACATTTAGTGATAAAAAATATTGCCTTCATGTGCCCTTTTAAGTTCCTTAAGATTGAGATGGTTAAAAGGAAAGAAAGAAAAAGAAAAAGAACTATGATCTTGAAAGAACTTAACCTTTTCAGATAAATTTATTTTTTCCAAAAGTCTTCAGCATTTCCTGTAAAATGGGTGCCATCTAGTGGCCTGAACAAGAAACTATCATCACTAAATAATTAGGTATCAACAGATGAACCAATCCAGTGGGTTGATGGGGTTCAGTGCTCTCTATCCCTGTAAAATATACTAATTTCTTCATAAACACATGGGACATCCAAGGCCAGCAGGCTTAGTGCTTCTGCTCCCACCTGGTGAGCTATAGGCTTACCAAGAGTCACCTATGCTTGTTCCAAAACCTGTTTATGCAATTATATTTATTACTGTAAATACATAATTTAATAGAGTATAACTTAAACCAAATGCCAAAAAACGGGGGGAGGGGGGATTCTTTGAAAACTAAGATGAATATTTTGGAAAAAGTCATGAAGGAAAGTCACATAAAAATCGATATCAAATCAAAGAATATATTTGTAAAGGACTGCATAAAAATAAAAAAGGATTATGCACCTGGTTGTTTCTTTGTTTAAAGAAACCAAAAAAAGAACTGTAAGTACAGCTTCTGCAAGGAAGATAACTGAAATTTCAATCTGCAGAGCCAAAGAAAAGGCCTGGCAGGACATCAAAAGATTGATGGATCAGTGTCCGCTCATGTGCTTCATGTTAAAATTAAATTTGTAAAACATAAATCTTTTTATGAGTCCCCATTTTAATCTAACTTTTTTTTCTATTAATAACCATGTCTGATCATTACAGAGAAGAGCATTTCTTTTCCCAGAGTCAAGGAGATAATCTGTCCAAAAAAATGAAGTCCTATGTGAAAAACCATTTTGATAGCATGAGGCAGAGGAAGTTTTCACTATAGTTAAATATTGGCATCTTTTCTTCTTATGGAAGGAACTCTCATTCACTCAAGAAAACTACAGTTACCACCTTAATGTAGACCACTGCGTCTGTTCCATAGCCCTCCAGCGAATACAGCTTCAGGTCTCCTTGGAAGTACTGTGCATACAGACGGGAGATGGGCAGTCCATAGCCAAAACCAGCCTGTTGTGTGAAAAAAACGAAATTCTCTTCAGAAGATAACTGAAATTTCAATCTGTAGAACTGAAGAAAACGCCTGGGCAGTACATCAAAATACTAATGGATCAATGTCCGCTCACATGCTTCATGTTAAATTTGTAAGACATAAACATTTTTGTGAGGCCCCACTCTAACCCAACTTTTCTATTAATAACCATAATTCTGATCATTACAGAGAAGAGCGTTTCTTTGAAATACTTATCTAATGAAAAGAGACGCTACTGAGAACTCCAGGGCTGCCAGCGCCTGTATCTAAGAAACCTGCTAATACTGTGATCACTGGACCCCAGTTGAGAACTACATTAGATGGCTCCCTCTGGTCATGTAGAAGTCTTCATTTTTCTTTCTATTATGAGATGACTTGAGGGGTCTGGAAAAGCACACTGCTTTGCTTCACTGGCCTGCTCCAGAGTATCCCAATAGTGCTTTGGGCAGTATCACATAAAACATGTTCTCTTTTAGGAGCAAGAGTAGAAAATGCCTTGTCACAGCCTAACAGATGTATCTCATGACTTTGTACCCTGAATTTCCAGTCTGTGTTCTGAACCTGGAGAGATCTGTAACAGCTCTACTTTCTTAATTCTCACTTACAGGTCACTCCTCTGCTTAAAAATTTTCAAAGCACAGCCCCATCCCCCACACACTGGCTTGAAATAAAAACCCAAGCTTGTAAAAGGAGCTTCAAGACCCGATAAGATCAGGTCTCTGCCTCCCACTTTTCAGTCCAGCTGAACTAAAGCTCCTGCTCTTAAGTTCTTAAAAATATGCTTTTTTTTTTTTACTTCTGTGTCTTTGTTCATCCTGTACCCAGTATCTGGAATGACCTTATTTACCTGAATAAACCCTACCCAGGCTTTAATACAAAGCAAAATTTAGATATTATGTAAAAATGATTTTTATCATCAAACAAGTGTTCAAGGACATTCTGTATAACCGTTTAGTGAAGAGCTAATGTGGATTCGAGAATCAAAGTGCTATTCACAAATCCAGGCTCTGACAATAACTATCTCCACCACTTATTTGATTTTTCTAACCCCAGTTTCTGTTCACCCCTCCAAATTGACTATCCATTCTCCACATTTCTCCTTCCCCTGGGGGGCTGAGCTGAATGAATGACATCAACAGATTCCCATGCCCTCTGCTTCCGGTGGATCCAGCCAATGGGAAACGCATAGGAGTTCAGAGGGAGTCAGGTCTAGAGTATCCACTCCCCTTCAGGCTGAGGTTGCTTCCCTTGGGCAGGCTGGGCCCTTGTTACCAAGAAGCTGCTTTGCAACCTTCCCCTTTTGTGGGTTCTGCTGGCTTCTCCCTTTGATTCTGGGTGGTGTCAGCTCCACTGCTGCTAGCCCTGGATCCCTGCACTATCCCTACTTATAGCCCTGTAATTTGTCTCTGTAAATAAGCCTTCCTTAATTATCATAATTTGAATGTGCTATCTCTTTTTTGTTGGGAACCTGACTGATATATATTAATTAGTTCCAAAAATGGACCCAGGGAAACGGCACAAGCAGGAGGCTCAGGATGGCATGCCTGATCTGCTTCATCACGGCCTCTCCCTCAACCACACGTGTGGATTCGTGGAGCTCCCCCTACAGATAATTCAGAGGAGAAAAATGGCCTGGCACCTGGTGGATCTACAAGGGACGCCAGCACCAGCCAGCAACAGACTGCCCTTTCACTATAACCTCTCTCAGGATAGAAGTAAATCCTACTCATGGGCAGAACCTGAGGTGTAGCACCTACATGGACTCACAGGTGGCAAAGAGGCTGGCTGGCTGGCCAGGGACTTGGAGAAAACAAAACTGGATAGCTGATGGGAAGGAGGTCTGCGACACAGAAATGGGATGGTCCTCTCTGAGTGGGCTCACAGTGTGAAGATGTTCTGCCCATGTAGATGCCCACCAGAAGGCAACTACCTGGAGGAAGCTCTTAGCAGTCAGGCAGACAAGGTAACCGTGCCTGTGGATGTCAGGCAGTCTGTTTCCAGCTGCTCCAGTGTTTGCTTACTGGGTCCTCCGACACAGTGGTCCCGACACCAGGAGGGAGGCTCTGAAAGAGCTTCACAACAGTCTTTCCCTCAGTGAAGCTGAGTAGACACACAGGGAAGCCTGTGCCAAGTCAAGTCTCCTGTTTTCCTAGAAATTCACATAAATTGTAGCCCTGGATGGTGTGGCTCAGCACATCGAGCACCAGCCTGAGAACCAAAAGGTTTCTGGTTCGATTCCCAGTCAGGGCACATGCCTGTGTTGGGGGCCAGGTCCCCAGCTGGGGGTCTCCAAGAGGCATCTGGCTGATGTATCTCCTGCACATTGATGTTTCTTTCCTTCTCTTTCTCCCTTCCTTTCCCACTCTCTAAAAGTAAATAAATAAAATCTTTTTTAAAAATTCACATAAATTTTGCCTCCTAAACAACAAACACTTACATGGCATTGACTTTGTGACAGGCACTATGAAAGGTATTTTTACACAGAGTAAAAGTCAGCCCATACAATAACTCGATTTTTAAAGTTAGAGAAACTGAGGTATTAGAAGGTCCATAATTCTCCCAAAGCTACACAGCTAAAATGTGGTTAAGTCAGGAATGGAACCACACAGTCTGGATCAAGTCTGCTCGATGCTATGCCCTCTCCTCAAAAATTCTATGATATTTTTTACTACAAAAGCAGTATATCCCTTTTCTCCCCTTATTCCTAGAGCAAAATTAGAATCTAAGAAGATACACATGTTTATTATTTGACCTTGTCTTCCCCTTAGCGCATGGATGCCTATCCCAGGCACCACATATCTATATTGGAGAAACTTATTACTACATTAATCATTTAAAAAGTTTTGTAAGACATGAACCATATTATAGTTGTAGCTACAGAACTTGTGTTACATAACAGATAAAACTATTAGAATGAAGTCCTTCCAGTAACTTCTAAGAGTCTAAAATAGATCCATCTTATACTGTTTCATCATGTTACCGCATAACTCCAGTGTATATGCCAGAGAAGATTCCAAACCTAGAAAAACAGTTCTTCTAGAATTATAGGTCAGAGATTTGGCAAAGTGCTTTTCTGGGGGATGGAGAACAAGGATGGAGTAGATTCAAGAAATAATCTTATTAAACCTGAAAATAGCTGACTATTAGGATGAATAAAAAATATCAGCAAGACAATTATAACCTGGCCATTTCCAGATTGGTGATCAAATTGATCAGATCTCTAGTCTTATTTCTGGGTCTAGAATATGATTTTTTCTGTTATACATACTTGAGGGGGGAGAAATCAACACTGAAGATTAAATCAGTGTTGATCAGATACCAGTAAAACTGCTAATTTAGTCTTTACATTAGAAAGAGTAGGTCAAAAGAAGTTCCCCACATGAGAACTACTGACGTGACTATCAGGCTTGGCAACAAGACCTCAAAAACAATACTCTTTGTCTTGTGCTCTTCAACCAAATGAAACAATAACCAAGTGCCATTTTAATTTAGAGGAAATTTTTCCTAATAGCTTCCCTTCTTCCTTGTGGTGTACCCTACACAATGGCTTAACCGATTTATTTGGTAACCAGTGTGTTCGGGTTTTCTGGCAACTCACAAAAACACATTTCATTATTTCTTCATTACATACCAGGGGCACTGCACGGGACGTCTCAACACGAGGCCGGGGTGCCGTTGAGTACATGTAGTTGAAGAGTCTGTCAATTTTCCTCAAAGGAACACCACCTCCTCGGTCACTCATCTAAGATGAGAAAGAATCATGCACTCTGACCAAGTTCCATAAACAGCAAAATACCCACACACACTCAGTGTCACAGTCTAACTGCTGGCTGGAGAGTGAGGCTTTTCAAAACAAACATCATGCAATGGAAGTTGCCAGTGTAAACACTTCCCTCACTGCTGGACTTAACTCATCTCACACATAATACATAATAAGCTCCATCATGATACAGATTCAATGTGGTGGCTTAGTGTATTGGCTGAAGTCATACTAACTGCAGTAATGCACAGAATGAGGCATAAATTAAGTCTATCTTGAATGTAAGCATAAATTTATTATTTCTTTATGGCAGGCAGTTTGACAACCAGATGAAAAATGCATAAACCCTCTGACCCGACAATGTTTATCCTGAAAAAAAAAAAGAATAGTATGCAAAGAATGTATAAGAATATCCATCACAGTAGTATGGAGATTAGCTAAAACTGGATTACAACCTAAATAGAGGACTATTTGAGTAAACTAACGAACATTCTAAAACAGAATACTATTTAGCGATTTAGTATTATCTAAACCTACATGTATTGGCATGAGAGGTGTTCACAAAATCTTGTTAAGTAGAGAAAAGTTATGAAGAAGAATTTATTAAATTCTAATTTTGTAAAAGTTAAATTGTAAAGTCTGTAATGATACATAATATTTTGGCCTATGGAATTACAAGCAATTTTCTTCTTTCGGGTTTTTAGTTTCTGAATTTTTTTCACAATTACTTCTACTATGGGAAACAACAGTATAATTTACATTTTCAGGAGGAGAAAGCAGAACCACTTCATTGTGTTTAGAACCTCGTCTACCAGCCACTTCACAGCACACACTCGCAGACAACTTTCCAGTGAGTATGTCAAGTACACAGGTTTTTATACTGTGCTCATATCATTTTCCAACTTAACTCATATGGTAGACTGGATGTAATGATTTCTTTACAGATTGTCTTCATTTTGCTTTCCTTCACAATTAATATAGACTTACTTTCCCAGCTGTTGTATATCTCCTAATCTAATCTACCATAGCCATTTTCCTTTGTTACAAGATCTAAATTGATTCTACTATCTATAATATTATCAGTTGTCATATACAAACAAATCTGCTTTAAACATGGGTGTATAGACATGTGTAGATATAAAAACAGTTCTGAATGCTATGTATTAAGATGTCAATGGACTAGATGGCTTCTGGTTTTTACATACTCTTTAAAAATCTTTATTGTACATTTATGCAGTAAGCGCTCACTTAATGTCATTGATGGGTTTTTGAAACTGTGGTATAAGGCAGCCAATTTTACCATAGGCTAATTGATATAAATAAGAGATAAGTTTCTATGGCATCCATCAAGGTTATAACTAAACAATGTTAGATTAAGTGATATTATTCGAGCGCCTGTTGTCTATTTCTTAGATAATTAAAATTACATAGCTATTTTAACTTATAAAATAAAAATATGCTTTGAAATACCATTTGAAGCCTTGCCTCTGATATATCTATAATTAGATAATTGCAGTATAAAAATATACAAGAACTTTATTAAGAACTTGTCTGTTGCATTGTGCTTAAAATTACTCTTGGCCATGAATTCAAAGCCCTGTGAAGAGATTTATTTTAATAAGATGAATAAAATGGTCTGGGTATTTTCTGAGATCCACCAATGTGCTAATTAATTATTCTTTAATGCTCTGCTGCACACATTTGCTGGTTACATGGTAAGAGATATGAGGGTTCCATAAATATTAACTAAGTAAACAGCATACTAAAGTAGATATAAAGATAAAAAGGTAGAATTCAATAAACATTTCCTGGTTTTCCTTAACCTTCTAGCACCCAGCAGTTATAAAACTGGCTAGAAGTGACTTCTAGCCAAAGGGAGTAGGAGAAAAGCTGAGAGCAGAGCAGAAAGGACAGAGGTGACTTTGATCAGTGTCCTCTTACTAGAAGTGAAGGGGGTAAACTAAGCCATAGGAATACAGTTAAAAACTGATAAAAGTAAATAAAGGTAACCTCCTTTGCTTTGCAGCCAAAAACACAATAAACTGGAACCAGTAAATTTTTTAAAGTAGTCCAAAGAGTTTCCAAGAGAGTTGGAAGAGATGCTAGTATCCCAGAGGATCTGAGTTCTTTGGGAGAAGGGAGGGAGGAAATAATGGGGGAGAAAGAGACAGATGTGTAGTCTGGATACATTTAAGACAAGAAGAGTGGCACTCTGATGACAAATATACTGGGAAAGAGATGTGGAAAATTAAACAAAAAATCTCTGATTAAGATAAATTAGAGAAAAAAAATCTAGACTCATGGGAACATAAGCCTATCCCAAGGAAAAGGAAAGACATACATGGTGGGGAGTAATGTCAACAGTAAGGCTGAGGAAGAAAAGTTTGCCAATTATTTTTAAAGTTTTCTATTCAGGGCATGAAATCACCACTTCTCAATGTCATCCAAGAGCTGCCATCCCTAACTTCCTGTTCGCATAACACTGGCCTCCCTGGGCTAGTTCATGTGAATTTCAGGTCCAAGGGAAACCAATCACAGCCAACTTGATGACAGCTCTGAAGGCAGGAAATTTACTAACCCTGACTCCCACCCAGAGCTCCTGAAGTCTCTTACTCAACATCTTTTTCAGTGTCAACCTTATAAAATCAACAGTGAATGAACCAAGATGTTTACATTTTAATTTTAAAGATATGTGGCTATACCATTTATATTATTTACTGAATATAGACCAAACACAAAATCTGAAAGAGCAGCAAGAATTCTAAGACAGACAAAAACAATTCTTTCATAGGATTTTCAGCAGAGGGTAAAAAATGTCAATAATTTGAATAAACTAAAAGAATGGAGAAAAAAACCATACTTTGTTTCTTAAAGCCTAAGGTAAGTGATGGGGATGAAATCTCTACTGAAGAAAATTAAAGCAAGCATTTAACACATAAAGAGATAACTAGAGTAGATGCAATCATGTGACCTTGGATGTGAGGAGGTTGGAGGCAGAGCCCAAGATACAGGTAGAGCTTTTATAAAGGGCTTCTAGAATAGTCTATTCAAGACCCTTAGGAACATTTTTAAAAGCTTTATTGAAATATAATTCACATGCCATAAATTCACCCATTTAAATTCATGGCTTTTAATATACTCATAGATAGTGCAAACATCAATATAGACAACTTTAGAATATTTTTGTTATCTCAAAGAGAAATGCTGGGACACTTTACTGACTATACTCTTAAGCAACCACTAGTCTACTTCTTGCCCCTTGATAGTTGCCTCTTCTGGATATTTTATATGAATAGAATCATATGATACATGGCCTTTGTGATTAGTTTGTTTCACTAGAATAATGTTTTCAATGTTGCAAGAACCATGTCCAATGCTTCATTCTTTTTATGGCCAACTAATATTCCATTAGATAGATATGTATCACATTTAATTGATCCATTCATCAGTTGATGGACATTTGGGCTGTTTCCATGCTTTGGCTATTGTGAACAATGCTGCTATGAACAATCATGTGTAAGTATTTGTTTGAATATCTGTTTTTAAACCTTCAGAGTACATACATACCTAGAAGTAAGAATGCTGGGCCATTCTGAACCTTTCTTTATACCAAACAGACAGATTCCCTAAGCAAAGACTGTCTGCCCAACAGCACAGAAGGAGTCTCTGCTGAGGGCCTAGGCGACCCATGTGGTGCTGGATGACCACAAGTTGCAATGGAAAGCACCTGCAGACCAGTTGCTAAAGCATAAGAAACGGAAGCAGGAAAAGCTATAAGAAAGGTCATGCTGTATTATAACTGAAACTCCAAAGCAAAAGCCATATGGGACTTATTTTGAATCAAGAAAACCTTAGTGAGCAAGCAGCTGACACACAACCAACAAAAAATAGACACACGTTAGCATCTGGGCTAGGAAAAAAAAAGTGATGCATTCACGTTACTTTTTCAGCAAACAGATGGTACAGTCATATAATTATTTTTGCCTCACTCTTTTAAATGAATATCCAAGAGAGATACACATAGAAAAGGAAACTCAGAGATAACAGTGCAGACAGCAGAGATAAATTAATTTTTGAAAAAAGGCTATCATTGATATTCTCAGATAAAAGATAAAACCAAAGTGGAATACTATAAAAAAGAATAGTTACAAAGAAGTTTCTAGTAAGATAATGAAACTATAAAGTCAATAGAAGGGCTGGGAATTTAAAGTCAAGAAAATCTGACAGTACAATAAAAAGTTAAGCAGGAGAAAAACAATACAAAAAAAAGAGGATCATTTCACAATCCCAACATCTCCAAATGTGACTGGCAGAAAACAAAACAGTAGGGTAGAGAGTATCAAGGAAACAGTAGAAATTCTAAATGCTAAAGGGTCCAACCCAATGAGTAAGGAAGGCCCACAGCAAATCACATCATTATGAAATTTCAAAACAGAACTGAAAAAAAAAAAAAAGATTTTAAAGGCTCCCACTGAACAAAACCTCTCAACTAAAACTGGTCACATACAAATGAATGAAAACTGAAATAAGTGTTAAGCCTTCTCAAAAGGAATAGCAGGAATGATAGCAAAAATACTAGAGAAAGGAGTTCTGAAAAGTCTCTCCTCCATCAAAACACCAGGAAATGGCAAAAGTTGTCAGAATCAACTTTGTTCAGCTCTAGAAATTAACCAAAGTCTTACAGCCATCTTGGGAGCAAGCTGTCAAGAAAAACAACAGTGAGATTTGTGGTGTTTTAACTTGCCTTGGATTCCCACTACCCATCAATAATATGCAATCAGAGTGAAATCAGCAGCCTGGCAGCCACTGCATTTTCTGACCCAATTCTGATCTTCCAAGGCAAAAAGTACTGCATGCACCCACTCCCCATCATCAAAAACATTGGTCAAAAACAATTAGTGGGAGACTTCCAGCCAAGATGGAGGCATAGGTAGACACACGGTGCCTCCTCGCACAACCAAAAGAAGGACAACAACAAATTT